ATCAGGAAAGTGCGTTTTACTTGAATTCGAAAGCACAATCAAAGGACTTGGCAAGGTGCCAAGGAGCCGCACGCGACACGCGCGCTTACGACGGATGTTATGAAGGACGGGAATCTGCGCCGCAAAAAGGCATTGGGCGGAGCATGGACGAACTAGCGTGTTTCACGGTCCTGTATCTCCATTCCTGCGCATGTTTGAACGGGGAAACCGCTATGCTTCGACAGCTGGGGGGCTGCTAGTCACATACACCCTCAATGTGTGTGAGCGTACTATGTGTCTTTAAACGTCAGCAGGCCTGGGAACGGCCATCTTCTTGTCAGAAATTGCAAAACCTCAGCGGCTAATTGCTCGCGAGGTTTTTACACCTCCAAAAAAACTTCTACACCCCGTCCACGTTTCAGGACATTGTGGCAAGTAATGTGTTTCTTTGCTGCTTTCAGGAACGGTAACTAACCTGTGGATTAGCATGAATCATAGCAGGTGTGATCATTATCGAGCAACCCTTTGGTATTACTACTCCTTCTGCAATGATATTAAGTGATACAACATAATAACAATATACCAATCAAAAAATTCTCATAAATATTACCGAGATCTATGTCTTGCTCAAGCTTTCGTGTAAAGTTTGGTACTGGCGGGCGAAGTCTCAGAGATTCTTTGATGCATTGTTCAAGATATCTCATTGACTTTAGGTCTTCGTTTGTACAACTGCGATCTGACGAGCCTGTAAATCGACTCATGACTATGATAAATTTTATTCACTCAAAAATATAACGTACACTGGAACTCACCGAAGATATCATCCATTTCATCGTGAATCTTCTTCTGAATATCTGGATTACAAGATACACACCACAATGTCCAACCCATACTAGAAGCAGTAGTGTCATGGCCTGGAAAAGAGGATTTCAACAGTTCGGAAGAGGTCGCTACTCACGTGTGGCTTACCTTCAAACATGAAAGTATCGACCTCTTCACGGATATCCTCGTAGGAGAGGTTTCCTTCAGCCTGCACCTCAAGCAACAAATCAAGGAATGCTTTCTTTCTCCCATCATCCTGCGCCTTGTCGACACCACGTTCTGCTATTCTTTCGTTGATCACCTGGAATTATCAGATTTTCTGGATATGGTCGTTACAGCAAGGCAAAGTCCCTGTCCCACCTACCCCTCCAGTTCAGGTTAGCATTTCCAACGGGTAGTCGATAGTGAGCAAAATGAGATAATGAGAGACATAGTGTAATTTGATGGACGGTGTATATCGTAATCGCTAAGTTCAAAGACAAAACCAGACGATCATCCGTCGTCATAGTGTGGATTTAGCGCGCGTTTGCATATAGACTGGCAATGGTGCTGAGCACTCGATAGTGAAGAAAGAAAGCAGACAAAAACATGCCACTTGCCTAGTCAGAGCCCCATTACGATCCCGGTTTGTACTCTCCCAGTGAACTCCATCCCCAACTCTACCGCCCTCAATCCGCACACCTGATTTACTCCGATAAGAACATGCTACTTAGTGGGGACAAGTGACGGTTTTCTATGTTTCGTTCTCATTTAGGAAGGAACGGGCTTGAAGGCTGATTGGTGGAGCGGATGTCACTGAGAGGAAGAGGCGTCACTGAACCATTATTTACACTATAGCGCCCTTCCGTTACAATTTTTTGCAACGAAACCGGTACAAAGTTGCTTGCCGCAGACCACGCTACCTTCCCGACGCCATATTTTGAGCTTCTATACCTGATGGCGGGACCGTGCCTTTACCTACAATGATGCGCCGTCATTACTGCAGGCGGACCTCATGCCGTCCACAGTTTTATTGCAAACTATTCATTTCCATTTTTTCCCTTCCGGCATTGGACTTGTAATTAACGACAAACCCCATAAATGCATATTGTGCAAAGTGGCGTTCACTGGTAAACCTACAGTCGCTAGGGGGATGTTGATGTATTCTCGATACAGATCTGAAGAAGAAAAAACAGAAAAAAATTAATTTTTCCAGTATGGGCCCCCCCCATTTTTCCAGTATAGCCCCCACATAGCCTCAACACATATATCTGCTCGAAAACTAAACTTCCACCCCTCCGAAAAACATTTTTCCTCCTTTTCCCCAAAATGTGCGTTAACTACCTTCTCAGCTCTTCATCGTCAGAAAAACGCTTTCCACGATTATTTTTTAGGTAGGGGAACAAAAGTAACCACTAATTAGTTTCTTGATTTTCTTTTCATTTTCTCAATTTTTTTCCATTTTTCTCAATTTTTTTCAATCAGTAATCATTTTCTCAACATTGTCGCATCAGTCATTCTGGTCTTCTTTCACCAAGGATAACTAGAACAGCATTGATGATAACTAAATGAAATTTTGTATTTATACCCTCAGGGAGTGTGGTTAAGAGCGGAGCAGAGAAGAGAAATCATTTGGAACATATTAG